TGGGTTCCTCGTCATCGAATGTATAAGAACGTTTCAACGACACGATGTCAGCTATAGCCACCTAATATAACACATTTTCTTTAGAGCAGTTTGCTTATTCATCTGAACGACACGTTACACTCACATAAATGATCAATTAATCTGCCAGAAAATAAACCATTATAGTTCAAACGTAATCAACCGTCCCTAGTGTTGAAATGCAGACCAGATGGGGTCCGAGTGTGACCCATTTAGCGTTTTGGACAATGCATCTGTGGATGCATCTATCGGATCTCAATACCAAAAATAACAAATTCTAGTGCCGCATTTTGAAGCCGTGTGTGTGGTGGGGGGGGAGGGGGGGGGGGGTTATAAGGACGACAATGAAATCCAACTATTCGGTCAGACAAGAGTAGCTAAAGAGTGGGTATTGTTGATTATCTGCTTATCTTGTAGGCTAAATCCGAAATTATGGAAGACAAAAGCTGATAGACCTTGAACAGTTTTGTGTAAATATAAAAAACAAACAAAGACAGGAGGGAAGGCAACAAGTTGACAGCACTATACGCCTGAAGTAGGTACTCTTAACCGATCAGTGAGTTTGGGTGTCGCTCTTAACATCGTAATCACAACTGCATATGTGAAACATGTTTGATAGCATCATGAATCGAACCTGAAATTTTTGGTTTTCTATTTGGATGCACTAGGCCTAAGGACGGGAACAATTTCGGGCCTATTAAGGTTAAAGTAGCATTCCAGAGTGTTGAAATTGATATTATTTAAATTATAATAGAAATACATATATTTCTAATATCAGCTTTCAAATCCACAAGATATTTTAAACTTTATACATAACGTTTGAGTATTAAGGTTTCGTCAAATATTACACGCCGTACTTTGTTGAGGTAAAATAGCACACATAGAATGTTGCATATATGTAAAAACAAACATTTCTGGTAAAAGCTGATTAATATCAGTCCTCTATTTGTAGCGGATGATCCGCCACACTACTCAGAAAATGCCACTCATGATTATTTCTGTAGGTGCAGTATGAAACCTACCTGAAAAGTAACACATAGATTCAATATATTTATCAACCCTACCTGAAAGGTTACCCGTAGACTCAATATCTTTATGAAACCTACCTGAAAAGTAACTAATAGATTCAATATATTTATGAAACCTACCTGACAGGTTACCCGTAGATTTAATATCTTTATGAAACCTACCTGACGGGTTACCCGTAGATTTAATATCCTTATGAAACCTACCTGACAGGTTACCCGTAGATTTAATATCCTTATGAAACCTACCTGACAGGTTACCCGTAGACTCAATATCTTT